GGCAAAGGGTTTGCATCCGGATGCCAACACAAGCACTACAGCTGAGCTCCCGGCCCCAAAAAAAGCCCAGCTCCGCGCTCTGCAGCGCTCCACAAAGAGATCCATCCCCCTCCATCCATCCCCCTCCGGTGCGTGTGTGTTTGCGCAGCTTTTCGCGTGTGGCCGAGGCAACCCCCGGAGCCGACCCCCTGTCCCTCACCCAGCGCTGCACTTCGGGGCAGGTAGAAGGGGGGGAGGGAAAAATAAATGCAGCGGCAATGATTTGGTTCTGAGCCGGGGGGGAGGGCATGGGAACTCCCTCAGACTCCGCATTTCCATCCGCGGCTCCTCTCTCTGCCTTGCAGCGGATTGAAATTAGACCGAAAGTTGCTGTAAAGACTTGCAAATGGACCGCATGGCAAAGGAGGGGGGGCTGGGGATGTCTGAACCATGCTGCGGTTCGGAGAGGGATTAGGCTGGCTCCCAAGGGCGAGCTTTAATTAAAGGTACCACTAGGGCACGGAGTACGGGAATTCTTAGCATCCTCAGTTCTGGTCTAAAAACTGCCCCTGTTTAACTTTATCCCCAGGCTTTTTCAGCAACCACCTTCCCTCTGGCAGTACTACTACATCCATTTTTTAAATTTTTTTTTTAAAGGACCAAAATGTGTCTTGTTAAGAATTAGATTTTTTGGGGTTTTTTTTTTCAAAGTGAATATTAGCTTTTTTTTTTTTTTTTAACAGTATTACATAACAACTGAAAGGGCAGAATAAACACATATGTAATGGCTAGCTCCAGTACATCTGTTTTATGTACTATATATAAATAAGTATTTTTTCAATTGATTTCTACATAGGTGAAGGCATAGTTGCAGCTTTATGCAGCACTTGGTTTAAAGGATGCGTAAAGTATAAGTGAGAGTTTTGCCATTAACTTCATAGATATCACCACAGGGGAAGCCCAATGGTCTACAAAAAACATTGTGCTAAATAGCCAGAAACTAGCTCAAATTACCAGAACTGAGACACTTTGGCTGGCTGGGTCCTTAACTTGTCATTTTGGTACTTAGAAGTTGATGGGGGGCTTTATACAAGTCAGACAGCAAAAATCATGGCTGTCCTTTGCTCCTGAGGAATGCAAAAGCATTAGGCAGTTCTCAAGTGAAATAGCTTGACGTAAGTATAGTGGATTTGGCATTTACTTCTTGGATATCACTTTCATAACATAATACACCCAAGTTTTGGCCTAATTTCTGCAAAAAGTGGGCATGCTGTGAGTACAAGAGCTGTTGTTGCATGTTTTTACTTTTAAACTGATGATGTTGGCAAAATAATTCCCTCCCTTTACCCACCACCAGCTTCTCTGAACAGTTCTTCAAATTAACTGTAATCAATGCTCGTTTTAGCTGAAATCCAGCACTGCCTGGTTAATGCTGGCGATGTGGGATGTGGAGTGTTTGAATGCTTTGAAAACAATTCTTGCGAGATCCGAGGCTTACATGAGATCTGCATGACATTCCTACACAACGCTGGAAAATTTGATGCCCAGGTAACACGGTGAAATGTCCTATGTATCTACTTGCTTCTAATATACACTTGGCATGTATCTTACTTCCTTAACTTATCTTTGCAAAAAAAAGGTTACCGTTATGGAGCAGATCTAGTTTTCCACATGACCTAAGAATATTTCTGTTGAAGGGTCCAGAATCAAGACGCCAGAACAGTAATTGAACAGGGGTGTGCAACCTGTCCCAAGAGACAGGCTGTCTCTAGCTCCAGCTGCCTGGATCACCTCCACCTACCCTCCCCAGAATAACTAAATTGGAATGCTGAACACGTTTTTCTGAAACATTAGGCAGCTTTAGCTTCTACACCATGTTTGTTCAAAGCCAGTTCTGAAATGCAGCTTGGGCTCCCAGTTCCTTTAGACATATCAAAATATTTCCCAATGTGCTGTCACTAAAGTTGATTCTCAAGACTCGCATGCAACCAGTACAGGTAACCTTCTAAAGCTGCTCTACTCAAGTAAGTCTTTGGTTCAAGCACATTAAAATACGTTACTTAGATGGTATGCTGTATTAAGTTTGTCTCCTTCATTTTCTCCCCAGACTATTTACGTATCATTGAGACATCCTGTTATTATGTCTTGTAAACCTACTCGCCCCATTTCAGTGTGGAGGGAAGAGAACATTATGATGGGCCAGCGGCATTTGGCTTGACCATGCAGTTTACAGTATAACTTGACTAAAAGCACCAGCTACATGGCACTGTTAAAAACATGGTATAAAGTAGAGCTGTCTTCAGGATTCAGCCTGTTCCATGAGACATGGTGGGACCACCCAGTAGGAAAAGCTTTGATAGAGTTTTAGGCTCAAATTCTCAAGGATGCATGAAGGGTCTGGCAAGCCATTGAAATGGGAATGATTTCTTCTGTGGGTATTTGAAAGTCTTCGACTAAATTTCCAAGTGACTACCAGAAAACACTCATTTATTTGCACCATATTCTGTTGGTGAACAGAGTTGACCAAAGAAGTACAGCCTGTTGGGAGGGGAAAGAAAGGGGCCTTTGAAGGCTCAGTGTAGTCATTGATGCCTGTTCCCACAATCCCTAGATGCTGTTAGTCAAATACAGCCTGTTTCACATCCAGGCTGTCTCCAGAGCAGAAGTATTAAACCCATGGTGTTTCAGTCAATATGGAGGTGACTTTAGCCTCTGCAATGACACAACATTTCATGGTTCATCTCTGTATTACAGACAGTTACTTCAGGCTGCATTAAGTGACAAGACTAACATTGACCACTTTCTGTTCTCTGCTTTCTGCTCTCCTTCCCTCACTCTGAAACCAGAGAATTGGTGCCAGGTTTGGTTTATGCAAGAATGTTCTTTATTCATCCTTATTTGCCTACCATGCTGAGCATGTTTGTTACTGAAGGGAAGAGCAAGTGCCTTTGGTATGGGGAGTTTAAAGAGGTGATGACTGAAGCAGTTCTTTGTTCAGCAAGAAACATTCTAGCTTGAAAGAGTTTGGGGACATTTGCTTGCAGGTCTGAGTGAATCTTAGTTAATGTCAGTGGAGCTGTGTCAATGTACTCCTTGGATAAAGGATAACAAGAATTTGGTCTTCATGAAGCACTTGTGTAAAATAGTTTGGAGCTAATGAAGGGATGGATGTGGTGCAGGAGGCTTCCACACACCTATTGCTCAGCAGCATAAAGGGAGTCTGAGCAGAGCTGTCGGACTGTGACAAAAGCCCTGTATATGGCTGCTGTAGTGTCAGATAGCAAAGAGAAAAGGAAGGGATGGTTTTGATGCCCACTAAGCAATTGACTAAAGGAATCCCAAACAGTGGTTAAAGAGGTGCTGCTAAAGCAGCTTTCCTGCAACTTACTTTTATAGTTTCTTGATTTGATTTTATTAATCTCACAATTTATTGCAGCAAACAAGCATCAAGACATTGTAGGATTATTATTAGTGCTGACTTGAGTCCCTCCCTGAGGCAGTGGTCATAGAGAAAATCCTGACAGCTGGGGAGTGGGACAGGTGCACATAGAAGGTGCATACATGTGTATGAGTTTGCAAAATAATTCTTAAAAATTAAAAGACACCCTTATTTGCAGTTACTGAATGCATATCTGCTTGTGGTCCTGGGGACTTCAGCCTTGGCAGGATGTCCTTTCCTTTGTGTGAACCTGCTGTGCTGCCACCCCAGAAGTGAACAAAGCTAGTAACTCAAGCACTGAATCATTTCAAGGTGCTCACTTTTGCCCTTTCCCTTGTTGGGCATTCAGCTGTTGGGGCAAAGGAAACCGCAAAATACCAGAGAGGAAGCCCTGTGTGTTCAGTTCCACTGGGGGAGCAAAGCTGGGTAACTTGGCATGGTCTTTAAGGGCAGAGAAACAAAGAAAAGGGGAGAAAGCTATTAAGTGATACCCTTAGCAATCTGATAACCCTTGACATTGTCCTACAGAGGAGCAGCTGGCTGGGCATAAATCAGCTGCTGTGCTTAATGGACAAAAATACAGACCTACTCCATTTCTTTTCTTCTCAGGGAAAATCCTTCATTAAAGACGCTCTGAAGTGTAAGGCTCATGCCTTGAGGCATAAATTCAGCTGCATCAGCCGTAAGTGCCCTGCCATTAAAGAGATGGTGTTCCAGTTACAGCGGGAGTGCTACCTGAAGCATGACCTCTGCTCTGCTGCCAAGGAGAACGTCCAGGTCATTGTGGAGATGATTCACTTCAAAGACCTGCTGCAGCATGAGTAAGTGCCTCCGCGCTGGTGCAGTCAGAGGCGTGGGAGCTCCTTCCAGGAGCACGATGGTGCCAATGGGCTGTGCATCTGCCCAGGAGCTGTTTCACCTCCTTCTGGCCTTAAGCATGTCTTATTTTCCCATGTACAAGACCAAGGTAATGCTTTCTTCGCAGGGGCCTTGGAAGACTAGTTTGTTTACAAGGGCTAGATGTGACTGTGGAAGGAGATGAAATGGGTTGAAGTTGGACCTAGCTGTCTCCTTGGTCTTCTGACAAATACAATCTGCCGTTTCCAGAGGCATCTCATAATGTCTCTCTGCTTTCTGAGCTCAAAGGCACTGTTCCTGACCCCAGTATTCTGTTAAAGATGACAGGTATAGGAGAAGGGGGAAGAAGGTCTGCGCAAAGTTGTCAGCAAGATGATGATTTCTTCTTTAAATACATACTTTCAAATGTCTTGTAGCTAATTGTCCCTGAAAGAGCTGCAGTCCCCCAGGTAATCTCCCATTCATCTTATTCTCTATTAATCTCAAATGCTTTTTAATAAAACATGGAGGTGTACAAAATGAAGGCACAAGTCGGATTTTGAGGAGTTCATCCCTCTGACTGGGAACACAGCTGCCCTCTGAGGAGTGGCAGGCATGAATCCTATTTGGAATTGATCAAAGCTGCTACATGACAGCAACAAACCAGGCACTAGCTGTTTGTACCAACTCTTTGTGCGCAAATACAAGAATTGGAGCCTGTTTTTCTTGCAGGTGAACATCTTGCTCCCAAACAAGAAAGCTGAGCCACGGCCTGGCCACAGGCTTAACCTTAGAGCATCTTCCTACCATGCCTCTATGCCTTTTTATCCCTAGCGGAATTAGCACAGAAACTCCAAATCCCAGCAGTCATGAGAGATAATTGATTTTTTTCTTTCCATAAGCATTTATTTTGGACTTCTAACCTTGCATTTGCATTGGTATCCAAAGGAGCTGTGATCTAATTCCCTTACTTTCTGTTGAAAACCACCCTCCTAATACTTAAACTGTAGTTGCAGAGAGACACTTCGATGCCAGTTTACTCTCATGCAGAATTGTTTGCTGTGATTTGTATGAGCTGAACATGGTGGCCTGAAAGCAAGGCCCTTTCCATGGATATTGCTGACGCTGGGATGAAAGGCATGGCTAGTGGCAGATCCAGGCCTTGCCAGGGTGAAGGGCAGCATCCTGCTGGCAGGGGGAGAGGGAAAGTGGGGCTCCGTCCTGCACAGCAGCACATCTCTGTGGGTGCTGCTTAGGCTGTTATTAGGCTATAAATTCGGTACTTGGCAGCAATTTAAACCTCCCTTTGCCCCATCATTTGGGGATGAGAAGAACTATGAGAGCCAAAAGCCTGTCCAAAGAGGAGTAAGTCATCCTTATTTTACAAACAGTCTAAAGCAGGAATTCTCAAAGGCAGCTGCTTATTTCTTGGGAGCTTAACTAGGGGGGGGTCTTGGTTTGAGAAGAGATGGGTCATTCAGTTGAACACCTATAATTTGGATGATCTCATTTAACGCTTCTACGCTTCAGCATCTCACTGAGTCGGAGTGTAGCTTTTCTATGCAGGACTCCCCAAATAGAAGCCAGCCAGCCTCCTCCCCTCCCCTAAATTTAGAGGCCATCTCTGAAGCTCTTGAACTAAGGAACTTGTTCAAGATCAATAGGCAAGTGTGGCAGAGCTGGAAATAAAATCACATCTGCTGACTTGCAGCCTTGTGCTCAGTTCAGGTACTCTGGTCAGGCCAGCTGAAATGCAGAAAGTAAAACAGTCACTGAGAAATGAGCCAGTATTAATCCACAGGGCTCTGGCAGACTGAATACCTGAAATTTTTGGCAGCTGAGCCACTTTTTAGTCATACCAGCAACCTTTTTCTTACAAAGATTTTTGTAAAGGTTATGCCAAATTTTAACAACTGATCTCTCATTTTTTTCCCCTTCCTTCTGCTGGATCTCTCTGTATGCAACATGCTCAGTTCTCTCATCTTCTGCTTTACATTTAAACCTAAGAGTGGAGAAGCAAGTGGCATCTCTAGGGCTTGTTCTCTGACTGTTTTGTTCTGACTGTTTTCTCCTGATGAGTGTTGAGGAACGCAGTCGGGGTGGTGAATTCTCCTCCTGAGTCAGCTGTGGTGGGGTGGGGGTCAGGCTGATTTGCTATGGTGAAGTTGTGACAGGCCCTGGCAGATCAGTTGCTGCTGCATTCCAAGTAACTTTCTCTAAGCGGCAGAAACCATCCAAACAAGGGAAATATTTTGAGATAGGTGGCTCTTCAAGATTAGTCATTCAGAATGAGTTTAAGCTGTTGGGCAAAGTAAAACCAGGGTACCATCAGACAGTGATTGTCATTTGTTGGTTTTCTTCATCTCCTCTGACTTTGTTCTTGGGAATAGATTGAGACTGGTCCAGGGCCACTGGAGCTGGTGCCCAGAAGGCGCACCCCCAGCACCCCATATAGCCATGACTGCTGGCCCCAGGCAGTTCTCTAGCACTGTGGATGGTTCCTGCTGTGGAAGACTTTGAAGCATGTCCTTCTGGGCCTGCTAGCAGCTGAGCAGTTGTGTCAATAGACAACATCAATATTGACCCACAAAACTTGTGACCACAACTATTTTAAAATCGCTGCACTCAGTGACCCGTGGCTGAGGAAATGCCTGTACTCGGGCTGCATTGTGCTGTGGGGGCACAGAGGGACGGGGGGGAAGCAGAAATGGTATTTGGCCATGGCTTATTTGGAGTCCTTATTTGGCTGGGAAAAAGTACGTATTGAAAGCTGTGCTCAACTCTGTGAGGAAATAAAGAAAAACTTCGGTGGCACTGTTTCTTCCCACACCAAGTGGGTTCCCATGTGTCTGAGCTCTGTGCAGCTAGATTCTGAGTCCAGACAGGATCTTGGTTGCAGTGGAGATCAACACCTGGGGCTCCAGGGAAAGCTAAAGATTATGAGAAAAAGCCAAGGAACCTCTAGTTGAGTATCTGCTGCTCCTTGCAGAGGTGAGGAAATGCCTCCTAATGTGGAATAATTATCAGTGTATGCTCTGTACCAGCTGTACAGCTGGAGATAGCAAACTGCTTGATCAAGTTGATGGCTCTAGACATGAGCCGATTTCCTTTCTCATGTATTCCGATTAACAAAGATGAAGGGGCATGGAAAGAGAGTGGCAGAAGGTGTGAGGTAGCAGTTCTTCCACTTGGCAATCCCATTTGCCAAGCATGTAGACCTCATGTATTCCTGTGGTGTACTCCCAGAGTATCTCCAGTGGGAGAGCAATCAAGGCAGATCCAGCATTTGAGTGAAGCTTCATTTGACAGGATGCCGTCATGTGCATTTCTCACAGAGATATGGCTGATTAGAATATGATATATTGCATAATAAACATATGGTGCAGATCTGCTCTACAAGCTATTTTGTAGCAGTAACTCTACCTTGCCAAGTCAGTGGGTAGCATGGGGCTAACGCTACTGAACTGTGCTGTGCACAAGGGAGGGTAAGGCAGAGAGGCCATTGCACTTGTTTACTGGTAGATAACCTTTATGTATTTTTTTGACTCTTCTCTCACTGTTTCCTTTCCCTCTAGGCCATATGTTGATCTAGTGAACATCCTGCTCACCTGTGGTGATGAGGTGAAAAAAGCAATAACAAGAAGCGTCCAGGCCCAGTGCGAACAGAACTGGGGAAGTCTCTGCTCCATCCTGAGCTTCTGCACCTCATCTGTGCACAGTGACACCATCCTGAGTCAAGAGAAGAAGGCGGGTGAAGCCAGCAAAGGTGCTGCTGGCCGTGGGGACATGCTGGCCCACTCCGACCACAGAGAGAGCTCACGAGCGTCCAAGGCAGAGAGAGGTACTAAGGGCCACTTGAACGCCCATGCCCGGGTGAAAGCTGGGGGCCATGGTCCCAAAGGGGTACATGGGATCATGGACCGGGCAGATGAACTGTCCGACTTCTCTGACATCCGGAGGTGAAAAAAGGCGCCAAGTCCCTGTTCCCCCTATCCTCCCCCTCCACTGGAAACCTCCTTCGTTGAGTCCCATCTTCCCGTCTATGGACATTCCAAAGCATTTCCCATTCAGAGGTCAAGCACAGGGCATTGCAAGATATATATGGACCTCGGCAACAGTGTATATAGTAGCAAAGGGAGAGCAGTGGCAATGGGTTATCGATCCAGCAAACTCAACACTTGAGCAGCCACCAAGTGTGGCAAAATGTCTCCAGCTAAATTTGTTTCCCCTTTTTTATGAAATGGACATCAGCTGAAATTTAGGATCTTGTTTGGGGTTGTTGGGTTGTTTTGGGTATTTGTTTTTTTTTGTTGGTGGTGGTGGTTTTTTTTTTTTTTCTTGGTCCCCTTGGCTGGGGAGAAGGTTCCAAGAGGGCTCTGCCAGATTGCATGTGGCTGTTTGTGGCTTAGCACCTCCAAAGGTTTAGGGCACAGCCTTACAGCAGACGGCTGAATTCCAAGGGGATTTGGTTTCTGTCTGTGGCTGAGAACACAAGAGCTCAAGGCTCTCTATGTGACGCTCTCTAATGAAATAGCTACCCCATCTCTTGCACAGGAACTGTGGGGTCTAGAGCTCCACCGCTTTCTCTTAACTAACTTCTGAGCCATTGTTCCCATCTGGGTGATGCTGCCTAGAGTCTAAGTGCCCCCTGTTTGTTTTTTAACCACTGCATAACTTGACACTTGCTAATGCAGTCACTTCAGCATATCAAAGGCGAGTAGTCAGCTTCCAGACAAGGCAATGTGACTGTTAAGACTTGCACAGTAGGGAGGACTCCCAGGAATATGCTGGTGGACCTCTATAAAAACCCTGTGCACATTCTCTGCTTACACATGTCTACTCAGTGATACAGGTCCTCCAGCCCAAGCTTAAAAGGGTGGGCACAGGCTCAGACAGTGAAGGACCCTATATACTTGGTTCTTCTGCAGGACTGCATTGAAGGCCCATCAGAAATCTCCTTAGCAGTAGCATGGCATGGTTTGCTAGGATGTGGAGCCCCATTCTAACCTGCCTATCAGCTGTGGTTTATCCAAATGCCAAAGATAAGGAGAGGGGGTTGACTTGGGGTTTTTTTTAATTGTCATGCAAATAATGACCACCAGTCTCTGCAGAATGAGTTAGTAAAGATGAAGAGTGTCAAGAACTTCTTGTCTCTGACCAGTTTTAAGTGCAAATGAGGTATTTGAACATATCTCTCCTACCCCCTATGCAATTGTAATTCTCAGGTTGCAGATCTGCAATCCTACATCCCCAGATATTGTACTGGAAATGGAGGTTACAGCATCCACGGGGACAGAAGGGTAAGCTCCTTGGCTTCCTCTAGAGAAAAAGCAAGTTTTCTTAGAAAGTGGGAATCACACCAGGGATTTGAGCCTTCTCATTTAGAAAGTTTGGGAGGAAAGCTGTGGGGGCAGGAAGGCAGTTCAGTAGAGACAGAACGTACCCAGTGAACTAACGTACGTCATGTCGCATGGTGGGAAGGAGCTGTATAAACAGTAGAGGGTGTTGGAATTTGGCTACGATTTCCAACTCAGATTTTAGTTACTGCTAAGTGAACACAGCTCCTAATAGCTATATTCGGGGTTTAATGCATGTATCCACCCGCAGAAGTTACAGGCATTGCTTTTAATAGAAGCCATGTAGGAAGCAAGAAAGGACAGTCAAGTCGAAAAGGTGTGTCTCTATGTGATCACCAGGTCTTTGTTTACAGACATGACCTCGATCCTGCCTGATTTTAGTTAAGTTCCGTGACAAAAAATTTCATTCAACTTAACTGGGAAGAGGTGGGATCAGGCCTGGAACTGTAGCAGTGAAGACTATGCTGACCTGAGGAGCGGAGTTCCTGGCAGTGCAAGTGCTAGCTGCCCCGCTGGGTTGTAGAACAGCTGTGCCATGGATGGGGCACTCAAAGCTGTCCCACAGAGGAGCTTGCCAAGGTTGGTTTGGACCTGTTCTAATGGCCAACTCCTCTGCTCCAAAAACTAAGTGGCTGCTGGTGGTACCGTAAGAAGGTTTCTAGCGTGCCTCCATGGGTTTCCTGTGAGCGTCCTCTCCCCCTTGGTGGCATACAGCCACCATGAAGAACAAGCTCAAACCAAAAAGACAATCCAACTGTTTTAGAAAAAAAAAAAAAAAAAGAAAAAAAAAAAGAAAAAAAAAGAAAACAAACACAAAACAGAAACAACAACTTGCTACCAATGTAATGCTCTTGCATTGAACTAAAATAAGATCCCTCTCTCATTAGAGGTCTGATTCATCAATGGGAACCAAACATACAGATCTACATCCTTGAATGTCTCAGTCAACGTATCACCTCAGCATGCATAGGTTTTACTTGTATTCATTTGTTCTGTGGGGAAAATTGTATATTCCCCTGGTTTAGTCAATAAAAATTGGGGGGAGGGAGGGAAGATGTGGGTGGGATTTTTGTATAAGGCATAATTTTTTTTTCCTCTGTGTGTGAAGATTTTATGTGTTCATCTACTGATTCCACATATGCTATTATTGTAAATATTTAACATTTCTATTTATTATAGTGTCCCCATTTAAAAAAGAACACTGCTGGCTATGATAATTTAAACGTATGTCATGACCTGTGTTGTATATATTCATGCCACTAGTATGGTGTTTTTTTTATGTTTAAAGCTGCGTAAATATAGTTTTATACAGTTCCATAATGTTATTGACAGCATAAATCATTTATTTATTGTTAAACCTTCTTTCATATCTAACAAAAAGGGTGCGTTTTACCTGAGATTATTTTATTGTGACATCTACATAGCCTTAATTCTTTATAAAAAAGGAGAAAAAAAAAGTCCATTTAGATACTGTATGATGCTTTAATTAACATTCCTTATGAACGTGCTGTTCATGAAGGAGGTTTAGCTTAAAAGCCAAGGTATGAATGTTTCCTTTACGCTTTGCATCTGGGATGAGCCTTGTTCTGGAATGAAAATAATGGGAGAAGCAAAATGCCTACTGGAAAACTATAGCAGAAAACCCTGGAAAATGCTGTCCTAACTTAAAGTGCTGAACTAAAAGGAAAAAAAAAAAAAAGGAAAATTTAAAAAAAAACCTGAACTGTCCTTAATTCCAAATCTCTGGGAGAAAAACATACTAGTTTTATCTCATGTAGAATTTGCAGCCAAATAAGCTTGTAAAAAACAAAGAAAATGCATATGGCTTTAGACAAAGCTCTGTACCTTTCACACTATTATTTTCCTTAAACACTAATAAATGTTTTGAATAAGTCTGTGGCTGGTTTTGTTAGCTGGAATTTCAGCTGATGTGATAAGGGGTAAGAAAAGCCCTCTGAAGTTGGGCCAGCAGCTTCAGCCAAGAGGGGCAGAGGTAATCTGTCTGCCCATCCCCCCGAGCCTGTTCCCTGTGCCAGCCAGGCAGCGGCAGAGGTGCCCTGACTGTCTTACTCTGTGTATACTGGGAAGAACTGGCACAAGGGCAGAGACCTCATCACCAATGTGTCATTCCCCTGGGAGAGGGAGACTGCGGCTGCTTAGCTGGGATGTGGCAGAGGTGGCTCGAGCGGAGATCTGGAATGAACTAGAGGACAAAAAAACACAGATAGCAGAAGCTTGTACCTTTCTCAGCTTGAGGCAAGGCCCCTGCTTGTTCTGGGAGGTTTCCCTTAGCAGGAGCCATGCACTGGGTTCACTGTAGCATGCCAGAACCACCTCATCTGCTTTAAATTTGTCTGTATTTAGGTTAGGAGTAGGGGGATGCAGGTACTGATGGGTTTCTTCTTCTACTGCCCTGATGATCTTGGATTACAAAAATCTTAGGAGATGACACACTGCGCTCAGCCAGGTTGGCTATAGGCGTAACTCAGCATCCTGTAAGCACATCCCATCAGGGCTGGGAAGGGGATCTGTGGCTGACCACAGCACCTGCCTGTGGGTAACATGTCAGCAGCCCTCAGCATGAGGCCAGAGCCCTAAGCACCAGACCTGTTAACAAATACAACAGCAGTGCTTTCTAAAAGCTGTAACAGCTGGTAAGATTTGACCTGCATGTATAAAAGACCCGGTCCATGTAATAGCAAGAGTTACCCCTTCAGGATTTTACCTTAGGATATCCATTTGAATCTCCACTATCAGTTGTTAATAACTCATCAATAAGTAGCAGGCAGTGGCTCTGTACAGGGATGAAACAGGCATGTACAGTTGCTGTAATTCTCTCTCCAATCACTCCATCACCATCCCAGCAGTGATCAGATACCAAAATTTTAAATGCTTCCTGGAGTTTCAGCAAAGGAGAAAAGCAAAATCCTAAGACGTGCAAAAAGCAATTTGCAGAAACAGCACTTTGTGTTGTCTCCAAAGTCATTTTCATACAGCATCGGGGTGTAGGCAGCAAGGGGATGGGGAAATTATGAGAAAGCACCTCAGAACATAAAGCACAGGGTTTTTTTAAGGCTGCATGAAAAAGCACATTTTTAACACTCCTTCTGTGGGGTTTAAAAATAACTAAGCCAGTTGAAGCCTTTGGATGAGATGGGCTTCACAAGCCTAAATGTGATTTGCAGCAATCTAGGACCTGTGGCATTTCTTCGCCTTCAGGTGCAATAGCTCCTTATAATCCTGCCTCAGACTGGCATCAAACACCAATGAGAAAGTGTATCTTGCCAGCAGAGATGTCACAGAGTTTAGTGGATGTGATCTCAGACCAAGCTGCAGTCAGGCTACAGCTAAGGAACAGCTTGTGCTGGTGTTGGACCACACAAGATCCCATTGCGTTTTTAAGCAGGAGCTGGTCTGCATCTTATCTGTGATGCAGCTAAGGTAACTGCATTCTGCCCTCTACCATCCTCCTTGCAAGTTCAACTTAGAAAAGTTATTTTTCATCTCCTGAAGCATGAAGTGGTGAGACTGCATTCTGCTCCAAAAAGTGGCTAGACATTACTGATAGAGAAGTGACCCTTACCTTCCCTTAGGGCATCACATCTCACAAAATAGCACAGTAAGTAACAGAGTGCTGACATTAAAAAGTACAGAAGCACAGAGAGAAAAGGAAGCCCTAAACCACACTGCAGAGCAGGGATTCTGCATTGCACAACCCTCAGAAGTTTACAACTTAAAATATGTTTAATACCAGCATGTAAGT